ACCCATAGAGATACATAGAGACCCATAGATATACATAGAGACCCATAGAGATACATAAAGACCCACAGAAACCCATAGAGATACATAGAGACCCACAGAGACCCATAGAGATACATAGAGACCCACAGAGACCCATAAAGATACATAGAGACCCACAGATATCCATAGAGATACATAGAGACCCATAGAGCTATATAGAGATCCATAGAGATACAGAGACCCATAGAGATAAATAGAGACCCACAGAGACCCATAGAGATACATAGAGACCACCAGAGATCCATAGGGATACATAGAGACCCATAGAGATATATAGAGATCCATAGAGATACAGAGACCCATAGAGATACATAGAGACCCACAGAAACCCATAGAGATACACAGAGACCCACAGAGACCCATAGAGATACATAGAAACCCACAGAGACCCATAGAGATACATAGAGACCCATAGAGATATATAGAGATCCATAGAGATACAGAGACCCATAGAGATACATAGAGACCCACAGAAACCCATAGAGATACATAGAGACCCACAGGGACCCATAGAGATACATAGAGACCCACAGAGATCCATAGAGATACATAGAGACCCACAGAGATCCATAGAGATACATAGAGACCGATAGATATACATAGAGATCCACAGAGATAAATAGAGACCCATAGAGATACACAGAGCCCCACAGAGACCCATAGAGATACACAGAGACCGATAGATATACATAGAGATCCACAGAGATAAATAGAGACCCATAGAGACACATAGAGACACACAGGGACCCATAGAGATACACAGAGACCGATAGATATACATAGAGATCCATAGAGATAAATAGAGACCGATAGATATACATAGAGATCCACAGAGATAAATAGAGACCCATAGAGATACACAGAGACCCACAGAGACCCATAGAGATACACAGAGACCGATAGATATACATAGAGATCCATAGAGATAAATAGAGACCCATAGAGATACACAAGAGACCGATAGATATACATAGAGATACATAGAGATAAGGACAACCATAGAAATACATGGAGACTCATAGGGATAAACAGAGACCCATAGAGATATATAGAGATCCATAAAGATATATAGAGACCCATAGAGATACATAGAGATACATAGAGACACATAGAGACCCATAGAGATACATAGAGACCCATAGAGATACATAGAGATCCATAGAGATAAAGAGACCCATAGAGATACGCAGAGACCCATAGAGATACATAGAGACCCACAGAGACCCATAGAGATACATAGAGACCCACAGAGACCCATAGAGATACATAGAGACCCACAGAGACCCACAGAGATACATAGAGACCCATAGAGATACATAGAGACCGACAGAGATACATAGAAACTCATAGGGATACATAGAGACCCATAGAGATACATAGAGATGCATAGAGATAAAGAGATCCATAGAGATACAGAGACCCACAGAAACCCATAGAGATACATAGAGACACATAGAGACGCATAGAGATACATAGAGACCCATAGAGATATATAGAGATCAATAGAGATACAGAGACCCATAGAGATACATTGAGACCCATAGATATACATAGAGACCCATAGAGATACATAAAGACCCACAGAAACCCATAGAGATACATAGAGACCCACAGAGACCCATAGAGATACATAGAGACCCACAGAGACCCATAAAGATACATAGAGACCCACAGATATCCATAGAGATACATAGAGACCCATAGAGCTATATAGAGATCCATAGAGATACAGAGACCCATAGAGATAAATAGAGACCCACAGAGACCCATAGAGATACATAGAGACCACCAGAGATCCATAGGGATACATAGAGACCCATAGAGATATATAGAGATCCATAGAGATACAGAGACCCATAGAGATACATAGAGACCCACAGAAACCCATAGAGATACACAGAGACCCACAGAGACCCATAGAGATACATAGAAACCCACAGAGACCCATAGAGATACATAGAGACCCATAGAGATATATAGAGATCCATAGAGATACAGAGACCCATAGAGATACATAGAGACCCACAGAAACCCATAGAGATACATAGAGACCCACAGGGACCCATAGAGATACATAGAGACCCACAGAGATCCATAGAGATACATAGAGACCCACAGAGATCCATAGAGATACATAGAGACCCATAGAGATATATAGAGATCCATAGAGATACAGAGACCCATAGAGATACATAGAGACCCACAGAGACCCATAGAGATACATAGAGACCCACAGAGATCCATAGGGATACATAGAGACCAATAGAGATATATAGAGATCCATAGAGATACAGAGACCCATAGAGATACATAGAGACCCACAGAAACCCATAGAGATACATAGAGACCCACAAAGACGCATAGAGATACATAGAGACCCACGGAGATCCATAGGGATACATAGAGACCAATAGAGATATATAGAGATCCATAGAGATACAGAGACCCATAGAGATACATAGAGACCCACAGAAACCCATAGAGATACATAGAGACCCACAGAGACCCATAGAGATACATAGAGACCCCGAAACTCATAGGGATACATAGAGACCCACAGAGACTCATAGGGATACATAGAGACCCATAGAGATACAGAGACCCATAGAGATACGCAGAGACTCAGAGATACATAGAGACCCACATAGACCCATACAGATACATAGAGACCCACAGAGACCCACAGAGATACATAGAGACCCATAGAGATACAGAGACCCATAGAGATACATAGAGACCCATAGAGATACAGAGACCCATAGAGATACAGAGACCCATAGAGATACATAGAGACCCACAGAGACCCATAGAGATACATAGAGACCCACAGAGACCCACAGAGATACATAGAGACCCATAGAGATACAGAGACCCATAGAGATACATAGAGACCCACAGAGACCCACAGAGATACATAGAGATCCATAGAGATACAGAGGCCCATAGAGATACATAAGAGACCCACAGAGACCCACAGAGATATATAGAGATCCATAGAGATGCAGAGACCCATAGAGACACGCAGAGACCCATAGAGACCCACAGAGACACATAGAGATCCATAGAGACCCACAGAAACCCATAGGGATACATAGAGACCCAGAGAGATACGTAGAGATCCATAGAGATAGAGACCCATAGAGATACATAGAGACCCACAGAAACCCATAGGGATACATAGAGACCCAGAGAGATATATAGAGATCCATAGAGATACAGAGACCCATAGAGATACATAAGAGACCCACAGAGACCCACAGAGATACATAGAGACCCATAGAGATACAGAGACCCATAGAGACACGCAGAGACCCACAGAGACCCACAGAGATACATAGAGACCCATAGAGACCCACAGAAACCCATAGAGATACATAGAGACCCACAGAAACCCATAGAGATACATAGAGACCCACAGAAACCCATAGGGATACACAGAAACCCACAGAGACCCATAGAGACCCATAGAGACCCACAGAAACCCATAGAAATACATAGAGACCCACAGAAACCCATAGGGATACATAGAGACCCAGAGAGATACATAGAGATCCATAGAGATACAGAGACCCATAGAGATACATAGAGACCCACAGAAACCCATAGGGATACATAGAGACCCACAGAGATATATAGAGATCCATAGAGATACAGAGACCCATAGAGATACATAAGAGACCCACAGAGACCCACAGAGATACATAGAGACCCACAGAGACCCATAGAGATACATAGAGATACATAGAGACCCATAGAGATACATAGAGACCCATAGAGACACGCAGAGACCCATAGAGACCAATAGAGACCCACAGAAACCCACAGAGATACACAGAAACCCATAGAGATACACAGAGACCAAGAGGCTAAAACATATTTTGTATTTTACCCAAGTAAGGTCCACTGAACTGCTACGTTGCGTTTTTGTCAGACAAGCGACACGGCACATCGCGAACGATAGCAGCTCGTCAAAGTGGCTGATCATCGTCATCACGCGGAAGTTTCTAGCGGCAGTCAAACATTCTAAACAACGTCCAGACGTCAGATCCAACACGTGGAGCTAGCAAGTAAATATTCTTAAAAAACAGGGAGGGAGGGAGGGAGGGGAGGGAGGGAGGGGAGGGAGGGAGGGAGGTGGTGGAGGGAGGGGAGGGAGGGGGGGAGGGAGGGAGGGAGGGAGGGGAGGGAGGGAGGGAGGGAGGGAGGGAGGGAGGGAGGGAGGGAGGGAGGGAGGGAGGGAGGGAGGGAGGGAGGGGAGGGAGGTGGTGGAGGGAGGGAGGGAGGGAGGGGAGGGAGGGAGGGAGGGAGGGAGGGGAGGGAGGGAAGGAGGGAGGAGGTGGAGGGAGGGAGGGAGGGAGGGAGGGGAGGGAGGGAGGGAGGGGGGGAGGGAGGGAGGGAGGGAGGGAGGGAGGGAGGGAGGGAGGGAGGGGAGGGAGGGAGGGAGGGAGGGGGGGAGGGAGGGAGGAGGTGGAGGGAGGGGGGGAGGGAGGGAGGAGGTGGAGGGAGGGGAGGGAGGGGAGGGAGGGAGGGAGGGAGGGAGGGGAGGGAGGGGAGGGAGGGGAGGGAGGGGAGGGAGGGAGGGAGGGAGGGAGGGGGGAGGGAGGGAGGGAGGGAGGGAGGGAGGGAGGGAGGGAGGGAGGGAGGGAGGGAGGGAGGGAGGGAGGGGGGGGAGGGAGGGGGGGAGGGAGGGAGGGAGGGAGGGCGGGAGGGGAGGGGGGGAGGGAGGGAGGGAGGGAGGGGAGGGGGGGAGGGAGGGAGGGAGGGGAGGGAGGGAGGGAGGGAGGGAGGGGAGGGAGGGAGGGAGGGAGGTGGTGGAGGGAGGGAGGGAGGGAGGGGAGGGAGGGAGGGAGGTGGTGGAGGGAGGGGGGGGGAGGGAGGGAGGTGGTGGAGGGAGGGAGGGAGGGAGGGAGGGAGGGAGGAGAGGGAGGGAGGGGAGGGAGGGGGGAGGGGGATGGAGGCACCTCCACACTTGTGTACTCGCATGCAGAGCACTTGAAGGGCTTCTCGCCGGTGTGGACGTAGCGGCCGTGCCGCACCAACTCCCCCTTGGTTACAAACGCCATCGCACACTCGAGGCACTGGTGCGGCTTCGTGCCTGCATGTACAGACACACAGTGTGTCACACACACACAGTGTCACACACACACACACAGTGTCACACACACACACACAGTGTCACACACACACACACACAGTGTCACACACACACACACAGTGTCACACACACACACACAGTGTCACACACACAGTGACACACACAGTGACACACACACAGTGTCACACACACACACACACAGTGTCACACACACACAGTGTCACACACACACACAGTGTCACACACACACACACAGTGTCACACACACACACACAGTGTCACACACACAGTGTCTCACACACACAGTGTCACACACACACACAGTGTCACACACACAGTGTCACACACACACAGTGTCACACACACAGTGTCACACACACACACAGTGTCACACACACACACAGTGTCACACACACAGTGTCACACACAGTGTCACACACAGTGTCACACACACACACAGTGTCACACACACACAGTGTCACACACACACAGTGTCACACACACACAGTGTCACACACACAGTGTCACACACACACAGTGTCACACACACACAGACACAGTGTCACACACACACACACACAGTGTCACACACACAGTGTCACACACACAGTGTCAAACACACACAGTGTCACACAAACAGTGTCACACACACAGTGTCACACACACACAGTGACACACACAGTGTCACACACACACAGTGTCACACACACACAGTGTCACACAAACAGTGTCACACACACACAGTGTCACACACACACAGTGACACACACAGTGTCACACACACACAGTGTCACACACACAGTGTCACACACACACACAGTGTCACACACACAGTGTCACACACACACACAGTGTCACACACACACAGTGTCACACACAGTGTCACACACACACAGTGTCACACACAGTGTCACACACACAGTGTCACACACACAC